GTCCGCCTGTCCCCCCCCGCCTGCTCCACTCCCTCCACTCCCGACGCTCCCCCCCGGCCCCCCCGCTCCGCTCAGCTGGTGCGAGATGTCCGTCTCTGTAGGCTCGAGTCTGGCCGAAGCAGACGCAGCTGAACAGCGCTGCTGGCCACCCGAGCGCCGCGAGTCGAGGCGGCTCAACGGACCGTCGTCAGCCGGTACGACAGCCCGGCGCATTAAGCGCGATCGGCGTGTTCATCATCATCATCATCATCATCATCACCAGCAGCAGCATCAACAGCAGCAACATCCTCCACCTCCTTTACATGCTCCTTCCACTTCCCCTCCTCATTATCATCATCATCATCACCAGCAGCAACAGCAGCAGCAGCAGAATCAACGACATCCTCCACCTTCTACTGCTCTTCCTGCTCCTCATCCTCCTCATCATTATCATCATCAGCATCATCAACAACAGCAGCCGAGCTTGAGCCCCGTGACCTCGGACATCGTTCGGCCAAATTGTGAGGCCAGACACAAGCGCAGGCAAACCAAAATAGCCTCGCAAGTTGGCGGAGGCCACACGGTGGAGAAAACACAGTTGATCGTCGTCTCGGCCGATGACGATATCAACGGCGACGGCGACGGTGATCTGAATGAAGAAGAGGAGGGTGACGGCGACGATAGCGATGACGAAGACGGCGATGGAAATGGCGAGGAAGAGGAGGAGGGGGATGAGGAGGAGGATGAGGAGGAGGAGGAGGAAGAGGAGGAGGATGAGGAAGCGGAAGAGGAGGAAGAAGATGAGGAAGAGGAGGAGAGTGAGGGTGAGTGTGAAGGAGAATGGGAGGCGAGTGGCTCGACGGTGGTCAACTTGGCGAGTGGAGCTTCAAACCGGATCGCCGAGGCCGGACGTCGACGCAAGTCGGGCGAGTTCGTGGAAGAGGACGGCGAACCGGCCTCCGTGGCCGGCGACGAAGTGGCCGGTGGGTTGTTCGCTTCGGCGAAAAAACGCAAAAAACGCCGTCGCCACAGGTTGGTACTTGATCCCTTTCAGCTTCTATCTCTCTCTCTCTCTCTCTTTTCCTCTTAAAGTGTCTATCTATTATTGGTCTCAATCAACCTTCACCTCACCTCCCCA